CTGAAGTATTTTATTCTACTGTTATTTATTTCAGGTGGGAGGGTGTGTATTTATTTTTGGTAGAAGCTTTTTATTCCATATCTATTTATTACAGGTTGAAGTTTTCAAATCTATATTTATTCATTTCATGTTGAAGTTTTTTATTCTATATTTATTTTTTTCACTTTGAAGTTTTTTATTCTATATTTATTTCATGTTGAAGTTTTTATTCTATATCTATTTATTACAGTTTGAAGTGTTGTATTCAATAATTGTTTATTTCAGGTTTCAGTTTTTTATTCTATATTTATTTATTTCATTCTAAAGTCTCTTATTCCATAATTATTTAACACAGTTTGAAGTTTTTTATTCTATATTTATTTATTTCAGATTGAAGTTTTTTATTCTACTTTTATTTATTCCACTTTTAAGTTTTTTATTCTCTATTATTTTCAGGTTGAAGTTTTTTATTCTATGTTCATTTCATGTAGACCTTTTTTATGTATTTATTTCAGGTTATATTTTTGTATTCTGTATGTATTTATCTCTGGATGAAATTTTTTATTCTATATTTCATCCTGAAGATTTTTTTTTCTATATATTATTTCTACAGGTTGAAGTTTTTCATTCTATAATTATTTATTTCAGGTAGAACCTTTTTCTCTATATTTATTCATTTCAGGTTATGGTTTAATATTCTATATTTATTTATCTCTGGATGAAATTTTTCATTCTATATTTATTTTGTTCCGAATATTTTTATTTTACTACAGGTTGAGGTTTTTCATTCAACCCTTATTTCAGGTAGAACAATTCATTCTATATTTAGTTCAGCTTATAGTTGTTGTTGATGTTTTGGGATTTCTCTCGTTTCACAGTATTTTCCCTTTTGATTGGAAGAATAAGTTTCTAATTTGGTTTGATATTTTTATTGTATGAAAAATTGTAATGTGTTCAGAAAGACCAGTTAGTAAATTGTTTGTTTTTGTAATTCTTTCAGGTTTGTTGGAATACGTAAATCAGTTTCAGATGCTGAATTATTTATGATTCTAATTGGATTCTTAATCAATTGGTTTAGATTAAATTGATCGGTTATTAATTTTAAAGTCTTTTGGTCCTTTTTTAAAATCCTATTTAATGTAAAAACCTTGCATTAGAATTACTTATTTTATTCTGATTAAACATTTTCAGAAGTTTTTTTTAGCTGGTCATAAAATAATTTTTAGATGAGGGTTTATGATAGAGACAAACTCCAGTTAATGATATTTCAGCAGAGAAGGACATAATAACACCGACTGATTCTAAAGTCTCACTACTAGGCCAAATGATAGGGCTGCATTTCAATATATTCAGACTCAGATGGTTCCTGCTGGAATCAGGTTCCTCTGGTCCTCTACACACATGATGGGAATCAGCTTTCTGCTTTAAAGGGCACTAACTGGACCTGCAAACTGACTTGTTGTGGTTTCTCTCTCAGATTGACTGAAGTCCAGAAGATGGAAGATTGGGATTTAAACGAGGATACAGCAGAACCTCCAGGATCCAGTTGTCTGTCTATGAAGAGTGAATGGTCCAGAAATAGACCTACAGACTTACGGTCAGAATCTGGACCCCCAGACATAAAGGAACCAGTTTCTAACTGATTCATTTGACTCCACAGAGATAGGACCTCAAGAATCTGATTTGGTTGATCTCCAAGCATCTAACTCCAAAGATCTTTAGTTTTTCTTTCAGCTTAAAGCTAAATAAACATGAAGGATGTCAGTCAGTAAATCAATAGGCAAGGCAAGGCAAATTTATTTGTATAGCACAATTCAGTACAAAGAAAATGTAAAGTGCTTTACATGATTAAAATACAGGAAGATAAAAGAGAATCAAAGCAAGTAATACAAAATAAAAAATGAATAAAATAAAATTAAAAAAATGCAGAAACAAAAAAGAATATTAAAAACAGTTGGGTTAGCATTTGATCAAAAATTTCTCCTTGGGCAGTTGACAATTCCCCAGAACCTTGCCTTTTGTTGTACTACCATAGAACTGCAAAACCTTTCCCATTATCTACAGGTAATTTAACTCCGCCCGATATGCAATTTAACTTTGCCCGATACACACCAATCCTATGGTGCCAACCTGGATAACTGGGGGGGATCCCACTCTAGATTACCGACGTCTCAGTAAAATGAAGTACCTTCTGGTGGCACCTACAACCTTCCTCTCTCTCTTAGTGAGAGCCTCACGTTCCTATGCGAGGTCTTTTGGTTCACAGGTGGAACAAAACCTGAACTGCCTTTCTGCTCCCCAAAAAGAAAAGTTATCTTTTATTTTGTCTTTAACATTTTTGTTTATTTCAACATTAAAAGAACCTTATTTTCTTAGCAATTGATCAAAAATTTCTCCTTGGGCAGTTGACAATTCCCCGGAAACCTTGCCTTTTGTTCTACTACGATAGAACTGCAAAACCTTTCCCATTATCTACAGGTAATTTAACTCTGCCCGATATGCAATTTAATTCTGCCCAATTTAACTCTCAATAGAGTTTTAATGAAGGCCTAAGAATCAATGATTAGGAAAATAGAACCAACCAAGAATCTTAGGAGCAACCAGGTTCAGAGATGCTCTCTAAAGCTTCTGGACCACAGGAGGTTCTGGGCTGGGAACACTGGACCCAGCATATATACTGGGTCCAGTTTATCCGATAGGCTGTTGACCCGGCTAAAGATCAACAGGGAAAAGCAGAACAACAGAAATTGGGCTATCCCTCTATTTTTAAGGTTTTGGGTCAGAGTCTGGGCCTGTGTTCTGTTCTTTAATGACGGCCACATCAGCTCTTCAGACAAGATGAACAGCTTTGCTTCTGATATCAGGGAGCAGAACGTCTGCTCTCCACCCTCTCAGACTAGATGTGATCAATAGGTCAGTGTCTAGAACTTTCTAGGCTTTGTAGTACTAGTAGTGGGTACTATAGTGGTACTTTGTAGAATCCTTCCTAGAAATTTGATCTCATCAGCTGCATTAAACTGTGACATGAGCCTGTTTTCCTGCAGGTGTTGCTTTGACCCATGTGATCCAGACCAGTAGAACCCAGTTCTTCAGATAATGTTCAGTTGGATCCAACAGAACCGTCTGAATGTTTCACTCTGGAACTTTAAACCTTGTGCTTCTCTGTGGTAGTTTGTCTTCAGAGCTTCTTCTCTGGTTTTTATATCAGAGTTTCTTACTGATTGATGTGATCTGAATAACACCATGTTTATGTTTCAGAGCTCAGAACCACAAACAGAGAGCAGAACCTCCAGGGTCCAGCTGTCCATCTATAAAGAGTGACCGATCCAAAGGAAAACCTCCACACTTCAGTGCAGAACCTAGACCCTCAGACTCAGAGTAAGGAACCAGTTTCTAACTGATGATGTGACTCTGCAGAGATAGAACTTCTAGAATCTGAAACGGTTGATCTTCAGTGACTCACTTCTTTGGACTTTGTTCTGCTGGTTTCTCATCAGCATCCAAAATATTACTGGCATGTCCAAAGTAATTTTCTCTCCTTCCAGCCTGATAAATCCCAGAAGTTGTTCAGATCTGAATCTAAACAAACAGAGATAGAGACTCAGTGTATCATGAATCAGAAGAAAAGGTTCTGGTTCCTTCCAGCAGGTGGAACTGGCTGTAAAAGCAGCCCTCACTCCTCGGGCTCCTTAGTGTCTTTGTCCACACAGTCTTACCTGTGAAGCTGCAGGTTGGTGCCGTTCAGAGCTTCATCATGTTGCTCAGAAACCAGAACTCTCCCAGCAGCTGTTCATCTGCAGCTCTGTCTCTTCCAGCATCAAATAAACCTTAGCGCCACCCTGCCTCTGATCCAGTTCAGGTTGTATTGGGATTCTGGGTGGTTCAGTGGTACAGTGGATGCTCCATGTGCCAAGGCTATAGTCCCTTATCAAATTGTCATGGCTTTAGCTGCATGTCCTACCTGCTCTCTCCAACCGCATACCTGTCAGATTCAAAGCCTCATTAATCCCAGTTTGGATCAGTAACAGACAGAAACTAGTCAGACAGCAAAGAGACAGTTCTGACCCACTGTCTGATCTTCTGTCTGTGGTGGACCTTCATGAACATCTTCAGCTTCAGTAGTCCCACCCTGTTGCTAGTGAATTATTTAATTGATGAAGAAATGTCTCCACAGATGGAGGAAGAGGAGCAAATCCCAGTGTGGAGAAAGAGCCGGAACCGGTGCTGGACCGCTCACAGCCAATCACATCAGCTCTGCAGCAGGTAAGACATCTCCAATCAGAGCTTCCTTCTATTGTCTCTGTTAAACCAATTCTACGTCTTTAGTTGGATTTGGAGATACAAGCTTTTCAAAGTCTTTCTGGGATCAATTATTCCAACTACACCTTTGTATTTCCAGCCGCTGTAAATGTCTGTGTTCAACCCAACAACCTGTTTGCTGAGCTGGTTCTGTTTTCAGTCCTTTGGGCTAAATGTATTAAAACTAAACTTTTCCTTAAACCTGGAGTTAATTTTTGAAGCATAAAAAAGTTGGAGAAAGTAACCTGCTGCTCTTCTGCTTTCCCAAGAAGAGGGAAGGAAAGTCTGAGAGACAGAAACTTGGATTTCCTCTTACAATAGATCAATGATTACAGGATAGATAATTGTATTTACACCACGGAAGTATTCTAACAATCTTCTAAAGGACAAAATCCGTCCCATGTCATTTCCAGTCTGTAATTATTCTTTGAAAACATTCAATCCTGTCTGAGTGAAAAATTACATTTAAATGTGAATACCAGCTGCTTCAATGAGCTTGGTGTGGAAAAGGTAAGGAGAAGGATCCAGATGAGATTCAGGACACCTCCTCACAAAAGAAAGGTCTGTTTAATTAATAGACACAGTCTGAATCAGGAGCACCGTGAGACAATGAGGATGAGACATATATAAGACTGCCAGGAACAAACAGGAACTTAAAGACATGCAGGGGTAGTTACAGAACTATGGACAGCAAGAATAAAAGACTGTGGGAGAAACCAATTAGAGGGAGAACAGGGAAAACAAAAAAACACTGAACGTGGATATGACAGTTTTTCTGCTAGATGCTGAGGAACCCTTTTTCTTTCTCTCTTCCTCTTCTGGAGCTAATGTGTTTGTGGAAGAGGGTCCAGTAGAACTGGTCCAATGAGGACACTATTGACATGATGCTAAAGAGTTGGTGTTGCTGAAAGCTGCTGCTGGTTTCTGTTAACACTTCTTTTTCTCTGATTTGGGAATCAGATCCTGAAAGTGGACACATACTGAACACAAAACAAAGGCAGAAAGATGCTATCTGACAATTGAACAATATTCTGGTTCTGAGGACTGATCAGATCGTTTAGCATTAAATCAAGTGAAGGAAGAGACATATTAATGATAACACCTCCTAATGTTCGAGATGGTTTGGTTCCATCTTCATCTCTAAATCAGCTTTTTTCCTTCAGTCGTCTTTTCTTCTGTTTTTCAGATGTTGGTCTGCAGGAGGTTCTAAAGGAACATAAGATCAGTCTGAGAAGGAGATGTGAAGGTGTGGCTGAAGGAAGTGATGAAACAGGAAGTAGAACCCTCCTCAACAGGATCTACACTGATCTCTACATCACAGAGGGACAGAGTGAAGAGGTTAATACCCAACATGAGGTGAAGCAGCTGGAGAGAGCTTCCAAGATCCAGAACCTCAATGGTTCTCCAATCAGGTGCCAGGACATCTTCAAAGCCTTCCCTGACCAACATGGAGCCATCAGAGTGGTTTTGACCAATGGCGTCGCTGGTGTTGGAAAAACCTTCTCAGTGCAGAAGTTCACTTTGGACTGGGCAGAGGGCTTGGAGAACCAAGATGTTGATGTTGTGGTTCTGCTTTCCTTCAGGGAGCTGAACCTGATCAGAGATCAGCAGCACAGTCTTCTCACACTGCTCCACGTTTTTCATCCAACACTCCAGAAACTCCCAGCTGAGAAGCTGGCTGTTTGGACGATTCTCTTCATCTTTGATGGCCTGGATGAAAGCAGACTTTCTCTGGACTTCAACAACAGTCTGCTAGTTTCTGACGTCACACAGAAGTCATCAGTCAACGTTCTGCTGATGAACCTCATTAGGGGGAACCTGCTTCCCTCTGCTCTGATCTGGATAACTTCCCGACCTGCGGCAGCCAATCAGATCCCTCCTTCGTGTGTTCCCAGGGTAACAGAAGTACGAGGCTTCACCGACGGCCAGAAGGAGGAGTACTTCAGGAGGAGGTTCAGTGATGAAGAGAAGGCCAGCAGGATCATCTCCCACATCAAGACCTCCAGGAGCCTCTTCATCATGTGTGGGATCCCAGTGTTCTGCTGGATCACTGCTACGGTTCTGGAGAACCTGTTGACCACAGAGCAGAGAGAAGAGCTGCCCAAGACCATGACTGACATGTACTCACACTTCCTGCTGGTCCAGACCAGGAGGAAGAAGAACAAGTACCATGAAGGACATGAGATGAGTCCACAGGAGCTGATGGAGGCTGACAGGGAAGTTCTTCTAAAGCTGGGGAGGCTGGCCTTGGAACATCTGGACAAGGGAAACATTATGTTCTACCAAGAAGATCTGGAGCAGTGTGGTCTGGATGTCACAGAGGCCTTGGTGTTCTCAGGAGTTTGTACAGAGATCTTCAAAAGAGAAAACGTAATCTTCCAGAAAACAGTCTACTGCTTTGTTCATTTGAGCGTCCAGGAGTTTCTGGCTGCAATATACATATTCCACTGCTTCACCAGCAGGAACATAGAGGTGTTGGAGAACTTCCTGGGAGGAGAACACAAAGAAATATCTCTGGAGGACTTTATGAAGAAAGCCATGGAAAAATCCCTCAGGAGTACAAATGGCCACCTGGACCTGTTTGCTTGCTTCCTTCATGGCCTCTCTGTCGAGTCAAACCATAGCCTCTTAAAAGGCCTGCTGGGTCAGATGAAGAACAGTCCAGGAACCATCCAGAGAGTCATTAATAATCTGAAGGAGATGAACTCTGTTGGAATCTCTCCAGATAGAAGCATCAACATCTTCCAGTGTCTGATGGAGATTAAGGACCTCTCAGTTTATCAGGAGATCCAACAGTTCCTGAAATCAGAGGACAGATCAAAGGAAGCACTCTCAGAGATCCACTGCTCAGCTCTGGCCTACATGCTGCAGATGTCAGAGGATGTCTTGGATCAGTTAGACCTGGATAAGTATAAAACTTCAGATGATGGAAGACGTAGACTGGTTCCAGCTATGAGGAACTGCAGAAAGGCTCGGTGAGTCTAGATGTCCTCATGGTGATATGTTCATTCAGCTCTATTGTCCTCCTGGTTCTTCTTCATGGTTCTAGTTGCTTCTGGACGATTTTGCTCTTTAACTTCTTCCTTCATCCTTTGGACTATTTCAATCGTTCAAACATCTAAAAGTTCAGCTCCTTCAGAACAGCTCTGCTGGAGCTTTTGATGTTTAGAGATTTGGATTATTTTCTAAATATTCCACTTTGGATCAGTTTCCATCTTCCAATGAAATGAATAGGATCCTTCAGAATGTAGAAAACCAGTATTTTCTCTAAAGATCCAATCAGCAAGATACCCATCAGAACCTTTAAACATCTCTTTACTCATTTAGCTGTTAGCCCAGAATTCACTATTTTAGTCTCTTTGACTGTTTTTATAAAATCACTGTTTAGCTTTGATGAAAACTTGGACCATTCAGATCAATCATTGCATTGCTGTTGTTGCCATGTAGATTAGTTGTTTGGATTTAGAAGCAACTTTTCTTCCTGCCTTCTGCAGCCTTTTTAAAGCTGTTGCATGTCCTCCATAAAGTCCTGTAGAGACACAGGCTTTTACACTTTAGACACTCCAGCCTCTTCTAATTACTGGGAGAACTTTCACTGCTTTCTGCTTCAGTCGAATACTCGCCATCATTGGGTTTTGAAAAATAGTTATGGTCCCCCCTTTAACAACCGATCAGAGAATCATAGACAGGTTTCAGATATTACAGGCTAACGATGGAACCAAACGACCCATTCATGGGTTACCATTTCCATGTTTCCAAGCGATACAAGGCTTTGTCTATATAAGACTCAAACTCACTGCGGATTCCAGACATTTGAATTGAGAAAGCTTCCTGGAGAGGTGGCGAAACGTCTTCAAATCTTGGAAACCAAGTCCAGTGGATATTTTTTTGAATTTCTACGGAATGAATATGACCTGGATGACTGAGAACCTTCATCAGCATTATACGAAAACATTTAGAGTTTCAGCTGCCAAACCTTATTTTAGTGACATAATGACCCTTTAACATCTTGAACTAGTAACCATAAGTGCCAAACAATGAACATCAGTAAATCCTCCATTCCTGTGATCAAAGAAAAACTTAGCAAACAACATTAAATGGGAATCAAAAGCTAAAGCCCCTGACACGTCTTGATGATTTAGCCAACGTATGCCTGATGTCCTAGAATCTTCTCAAACGCTGGCATACACTGAATATTCTTTGTTTTTTCTACTTTGGGTATATGCATAGCGTATTTATAATGAGTCCAGAAGTTATGTCCATCGACAGCCTAAATTACGCATTACCCACGAAAGTGTAATGCCCATTATATGTCACAAGCCAGTGTCCTGAGGAGGGCAGCAATGCGGCCAGAGGCCCTTGTCCTGCATAAAAGGATATATTTGATCAAAGTATTAACAAGCTATTGTTTACCTCCCACAAAAAAATGAGAATAAATAAATTAAAATGAAAGAAAAAAGAAAGAGAGAAAGTTTGTAGTTGCAGCAGCTTTAGTGTCATGTCTGCTAGGAGGTTTGTTGGTCATGGGTGTGGGTGTGAACCCAAGGAGGATGCATCACACTCACCTTCTCGCTAATCCTCTGATGGTGATGAAACATGGAGGCGGTTTCCACCCCTGAACCCCCTTTTATACCAAAACTCTGCCAGTGTGCCATTATACAGTAGCTGTAAGTTAGAAAAACGTTCAGCAGTTGTCTTGAACACATCAGAAAAATTGATATGCATTGGAGATAGTTCTTGATAAGTTACGCATAAGTTATTCACACGTTACTCATAGGTTTTGGATAAGTTTGACACCATGACTTTTAAGTAACTTACACTTAACATATGTCAAAGATCAGATAACTTAACTGTAACTTATGGCACACGTCTGAGCATGCTGTCCCTCGATGTACTTGCGGTATGTTGACGTGTGCCAGTGTGTACTTCAGCGTGCTCATAACTTATAGAAAACATACCCATAACTTATCCATCAAATGCCAGTACTTTTTCTTACATCAGCCACACACTGGCTAAATTGCCAAGGTGTGATGGGGGCTTTAGAGGGTAAAAAGCCACATCATTTCATTGATTGTTTTGTCCAGAAAAGGTTTTTATGGTCGAGCTCCCGTGTGAGTTCCATCTGGTGGAGGAATAAACACCGACAGTGAGTGCTGCAGGATTAAATAAAATCCATCTGTAAAACAAAGATCAGATCTGTTCTCAGCACTTTGATCTGTTATGAATTTGTTGGGCCTGCAGCTCTACTTCTCTTATTGGCTGCCTGAAGTTTAAATTAGTTGGATCAGAAGAATTTAAGAAGGGTCCTGCTTAATATGAGAAAACAGAGTACAAAAAAATGCTAAAAAAAACTGCTTTTTCTCAGGACAGTGAATACCGCCTGATATAAGAAGCTACATTCAATGACCAGAAAGAGCATAGATTTTTTTTCAGTGTTTAGTGACACCTCTTAAAAGAGCGCATTAAACTGCTAGATTTTATGGTGTTCTTTGCAGCATGTGTGCTGCCTTTTGAGCGTAAAAATCTAAAAATAATAAGTTATGTTGAAATTCATCAGTTTGTAAGTAGATCTAAAAATATATATATTCTTGGTTGTAAGAAACTGCGTTGTAGTGAACATTCTGTTAGTTAGTAGCACCTATATAACCTGCTCAGTTTGTTCTTCATCCATTCAGCTCAAGAAAGCTGAATGGAGCACATACAGCTAAGCAATCAGCTGAAGTCATATTGTCTAAATTTTACTTTTCGCCTTGGAGCTTATTTATTTGAAACTCTTATGTGTAATTTCAAGACCTAAGTGTGTGTTTTCCATGTATACAGCTTACCCTGCTTATGTTAGTTTTTGTTAAGATCCTAATTCATAGTAACTTCTCTCGTTTTATTCTTTCATGGAGGCTAACTAAAATGTACTTATCTTATGCTTATTCATACTGTGATTTAAGGGGGTAAAGTATGCCTTATTTCTGTATTCTTCAGTTTTACGGTAATTGTTGAATGAGGGCTTCATTAAAAGATAAGAAACCTCAAGCCTTGTGGTTTTTATTGGAGGTCTTCTAGCTAACCGTTATCTGGCTGATGTGACCTTTCTAAAGGAGTTTTTAGTTGCTTTTCAACCAAACACATGGTAAAAGGGTCCAGTTTTGTCCCTTTCGGCTTGCATTATGTAGTGTAGCATTCACATGGCAGAGTTGGGAGGAGGACGACAGTGGCTTTGGAGGATAATGGTGGTACTCTGCCATCCAACCATCACCTCAGCCAGTTCCCCTGTTTTCTGCTTTGGTGAGAGAGGTCCTCCATTATCTGCACTCAGAGGCCTATTGCTGGTAGCTGTTCTGGAACCAGCTCCATTTTTTTAAAACCTTAATAAGGTGAGAGGTACCTCCCCACTGCTTCACTGGAAAACAGAGTTGAAAGCTTTGACAGAACCACTGCTAGTGTAACAGTTGCAAGCATTCATCTATAAGTGTTTTTTTTTTGTGTAAACGGGTTTTTGTTTTCATAATGATATTTTTTGGTTATTTTATAATACTTACATGTGTTATGGGTGAACCTTTATTTTGGTGTGCAACCTTTTGTCACGCAATTCCAAGTGCGTGCGTGAGTCAGTCAGTTGAAAAAAAAACTCCTGTATCAGTCACATGACTTTCTTGAAATGACTTGCGTACCGATACAGTGTTTCTATGGGCACAACGCATCCACCCATGCATCGGTGTTGCTGGTCCCATCACTACCGTGGAGAGCAGATATTCATCAGATGATGACATTGCTGTTTTCTCATTATGTTTTAGTCTGTGTTTATCATCCAGATGGTCTGATTTTATTAGAACTCACTTTATTTCTGTTCTAATTATAGACTTGGTGGCTGTTATCTCCATGAGGCTGAATGTGAAGTTGTGGCCTCAGCTCTGAAGTCCAACCTTCATCTGACTGAAGTGGAAATAGAGGCGATCTATGGAGGTGAATCCTTTGGAGACTCTGGAATGAAGCATCTGTGTGAGATACTGGAGAGTTCAATCTGCAAAGTGAAAAAACTCAAGTGAGTTTTTTCTGTTTATTCAAACCAAATTATTCACTGACACTTTAATGCTGATTTTAATTCAGTGTTTTATTCTAATATATTTTCTTTAAAAAAGCTGCTTTTCAAATGTCATAATTAAATTTCTCAGACTCTTTACCTTGTGAATGAATTATTTTCCCTTTCCAGATGTTCTAAATATTGAACTTTATTTTCCAGATGTTCAAACTTTTAAATGTTTTGGACTGGTGGACAAATTTGAAGAAAATAAGTGATGATTTTAAGTAATCATGGAGATGTTTCATTTTGATTTCGGAAAGATTTAGATGATGAGATAAGATGGCTTTATTTCTCATTTCTAATTAACATCTTTAGATCCAGAATGACATTCGGTTCCTCTAGGGTAGAACCAGAACCACTGACATGTTATAACTAGAACAAAGTAAGATGATCTAAAAAATAATTTTTTAGGAAGAAAAAAAAAGACATGAAGTCTTTGTCATGAAGCTGCTGTTTTGTTTGACTGGGTTAGAGAGAACCCATCCTCTTCAATCGGTCAGCTGTCAGGGCGCTTGGGAATCCTTTTTTTTCTTTTCCTTCATACATTTGAACCCAAATATCTGGACTTTCTACTCCTTCCTTTCTCCAAACTAGCTAATTTCTTCTCCCTATTTTCATAACTGACATAAGAGCTGCAACAAAACAGGGAAAGATAGGAAGGGAATCTTTCCAGTTGGAGCCCAGTTAATTTGTAGAAAAACACTGATAGAGACATGGATGAAGACAGGAGGCTGGAGACATTGATGGATCAGATTGTGAGATGCAGACATTCCCCGTCCATTCCCCCTTTATTAGGGAAGAAATGTCCATGTTTATTTATTTTTTTCACTTTCACAAATTAAAAATAGAAACACAGAATACATCATTAAAATAAGAAATGTAAGATGTAATTTCTCTACACACTCACATATATACATATGTGTATATATATATATATATATATTAAAATAAGAAATGTAATGGAATGTCAGAGAAACCCCATAGGGCTTATGCCAAAGGCCACAGCCCTAGAACAACAAAAGATCAGGCAGCTCACATTATGAAAGACATTTCACTAGAGAGAAAAAACACTTTCTACCATTTATCTCTGAAGATTCCAAATATTTTCTACATTCAGTCCATAGTTTTGCACCATGATGCCAAAAAGCCAATTTCACTTGAGTTTTATTACTTAACGGTAAATGAAAAGACAAAGGTTTTGCAGTATTACAAGAGTGGACTTGGCAGTTCTTAACAAAATAATTATTGAAACTATCAGGAGACTGACCTTGTTTTATCAAAAAAACAAAGGTACATGTTTGACAATTATTAATCTTATAAATATTCAACAACTGTAATTGGAAGAAAAGGGAAGCACTAGCTGTATCAACTTAAAAAAAAATTTGCTAAGCAAACAATCGCTTTTTCTAAAAGTAGGTTTTTTTAAGATAACTAGGAAATATACTTGCCCAAACAATATTACAGTATGACATGTACGGATAGATTAATTAATAATATATGGTTAACATCACTTTATTGTAAACAAAATTTGTAATTCTTCTCAAAATACCTGTAGATTTAGTGACTTTTTTGCAGACTGTACCAATTTGTTTTCTCCAAAGGAGTTTGTCGTCAAGTTGAACACCCAAAAAACAAACAGTGGTAACTTTATAAATTTTTTGATTTTAAAAACAAATTCTTATTTCATCAAATGTATAATTTCTGTGCCCATCAAAAACCATGAAAGTGCATTTTTTTTCAAATTCAAAGATAACGAACGGCTTGGAATAAGGTTGAAATTTGGGCTACACTGTAAAAAAAAAAAAAAAAAAAAAGAAAAAGTCCAAACTACGGTGAAATACAGGCAGCTGTGGTTACCAGGAAAATGCAGTAAAAAAGGGAAATCATAAATTTTACAGTTGAAGACATTGTTTTTCACTGTAAATTATTGTAGAAAAAAATAAATGCCATAAACCCTTGAACTCTATATCCTGTGAAAAAAATAGCCCTATCCATTGATATTTAAATTTATCTGCCATAAAACAACAGATACATTACAGTTCTTTTTACAGTAATTTCTTGTTTATTTTACAATGTGAAATAAATACAAAAAAAAATAAATGCACACATCAAATGTCGCTTGGGTCTGGTCTCGGACCTGGCAAGTTCTCTGTTTAGGTTTGATTTTTAAATGTGGAAAGGGACGTTTCTTCTGTCAAACATAACTGGTGTCCACTCAAAGAGTCTTCATTTAAGTCATCTTTATTTTGATGGTTATAATTTTCCTCCAATCACACAGGTTAAAACCCTCAAAAGAGACAGAAACATCTAATTACATTGAGAGGTCAATAAGAAAAGAAAAAAAACTAATCAATTTACATCTATTTAAATAATTTAATCCTAAAGAATAATAAACATTAAGTATTTTATAAGGAAATGAAACAGCAATTAATAAATTAGCATTTTTATCAAAAATTTTTCTGCTTTAACTAATAAACACCAAGTGTATTTTTATATATATATATTTTTTCTTTTAATATTAAACAATCAACCAAATAATCAGAGTCAGTCCATGTGAATAAGCAACTGTAATCAGCTTGCCGGCTGTCCTTCACAGTTCTTCTTAGAAACCTTTTGCACGGCTTGCACTTTGCCGGTTCTATCATCACTGTTTGTCTTGCATGCTGTGCTACTTCCTCAAACAAGAGTGAGAGCTTAGCCAAAGCAAAGGTACACCCTTTGATTGCATGAGATTGAGTCCAGTTGGTTCCCATCTCCAGCAGGTAGAGCAGAAACTAGCAGCAGAGGAGATTGGCAGAAGGGAATGGCTTCCTGGCAGTTCACCAAAACAGACCAGTTTTGCTGGTATGCTTCTGCACCATTGGTCTGGAATTTGTAGGGACGCACAGCATTGTCCCACCAAAGTGCAAAGGGGAGCCTATTTGAGAACTCACTAGAACTTCGGCGGCACCAGCGGGAGTGTATATGTTCGATGTCTAGAGTTGCTAGAAGAACAATCGAAGAGGAACAGGTTCTGTTAATGGAGTTGCCAAAAAGACCGATTAACCTTTTGTCATAGTTGTCCATTGTTCCTCGGTTTTTAAAAATGGTACGCCCGGGCACCGAATCGAGAAGGACGAGAACAGAGACAGCCTGAAAGGCATAAAAAGTAACAATAATAGCAGCTTTTTTTCAGCGTACTTCCGCTTGAGGTTAGCAGTGGTTTGCGACTGTCCGACGCGTAGTGAGGATTCTTTTGAGGTGCTCAACAACGGTTGCAGAACCTCTGCACAGGGGGCTTGGTCAACCACAGTGACAGATTTGACAGTTGCAGAAGATATGCGTCAGAAGCATAAATTGGTCTTTAGTTGAAGATAGGCCTCAGACAGATCAGGTTCTGCCATTTACATGTTATCAAAGAGACAAGTTCTGGAGAAGTCAAATTGCATTCCATTGGGTTTACTGGACTGCAAGGATCCGCCCTGCAGAAGAAAAAAAAACACAGTTATGGCTGATTTATACTTTGAAACTAGGCCGTCTGCATAGGTGTCGCATTGGACGCAAAGACATCCCCACCCCCTCCGCAGACACTCTGCTGCACCTCTCCCAAATTGCCTTGTGACAATTGCCTGTGACAGGAGGCTTTTGATTGGTCAAACCTATATCCAATCTACACTATTCGTATCTCCTGTGTGGTACCTTACCGGCTTGTTTTGTTTGTATGATTGCAATTGTGGAAAACGACTTGTGAAGTTGCACCAGCTAGAAGAGCGAGGTGCGCAAGAAGGCTAGAACCCTTGGATTCCCGCTCTTTTTTGCCCTCATGTCTCTCCGTTTTTGCCCCCATTTCCTCACCGCCTTGGCCGTATCTAGACCCACAGCTAGTTTGTTACTTTCCCCTTTTGCGTTGTGGTGTGTGCAGACCATGCTTCAATATTGAGTATAAATCAAAAATGTCTGAGTCATACCTGCAACAAGCTCACTGCGACACACTGCTGCGGGAGTATAACCAGCCCTTTACAGTCAATATCATGCTTGGAAAAAATTAATAAAGACAAAACAATGTCAAAACAAGCTTTCATGAAGTAATTCTTAAAAGTTACAGTTGCAGGTCTTAAATCTAGTCACAACGTGGTAGGAAAGAGCCAAGACTAACTCAAAATAAAAATACTGGATAGGTCTAATATTTAATGGAACTTAAAATTTATGACTCAAAAACAAATTAGTTTCTAAAAGATGTAGTTCCTCACATTTATTCTCTAGACAGAACAGTGTGCCATCAGAAGCTGAATTGAATTTGTAAAACAGAATTCTGGATTTTAACATTTTGAAATGAAATGCTATGGTTTGAAAAGTTATTTAATAAAAATTTAGTTTAGGTTTAGAAATTGAATTTCATTGCTTTGAACACTATGTTTTAATAATGTTATTTCAGTTTTATTTAATTTATATTTCTGTGTCATGTATCTGTGTGCTCTAGAAAGCAACTTATCAGATTCCCAGGTTTATATGGAACATCTGCTTAAATTATTTACTTACATGTCCTCCAGGACCAATGTTTTTTGGGGTAGCAGGGATAGTCAGAACCCCGCCTCCACACTGCCTCTGTTCTCCTTCCTATGGCTTGAGTCACATGGTAAATGGCCTCTTGTTGCTTTTGGGGTTGAGATTTTTTTTCTCTCTGCTCCGACTCTGTATGCTGTTGTTCACACTTTTTTTTACTAAAGTTTATCTGAATTATACAATCTACTCATGCACCCTATTTTATTTTTTTTTTAAGACCAGACTTGAAACTTTCTGTCTTGATAAAAGTTATAAATTACGTGGCTTAGGTTTTCCTGAGGGAGCTCTGTAGATATGCTGTTGGCAGCAATAGCTCAACCAACATCTTCTGGGTTTTCTGCCCTTCAAACCCCCAGTCGGCTTAAGCAGATGGCCACTCACACTGAGCCTGATTCTGATGGAGGTTTCTTCCTATTAAAAGGGAGTTTTTATCACTCCACTGTCGGGATTGCAAGTCTGTGGCTCAATGCAGTCTGCTGGGATCCCTAAGTTGTAAGCCTAACTGATTATAGTGATAGACTGTATTGGGTTTCATTGTTCTGGAATAACATTATTAGGGATTAATCAACTTTACAATTGAATCTGGATCACTGACTTAAATTGACTTTGTGTAAAGTGCCCCGAGACAATATGTGTTTTTAAATGGCACTATATTAAAGTGAAATGAACTGAATTGAATTAGTCAAACATAATTTTCAACACAAGAAACTGAGATTTAAATGCCAATGTATTCAGTTTGTTTGGTAAAATTCATTTTTTAAACAACTGCATTTAATTTCAAATTACATAAATACACATTTGCTTCCTGTAATTTTTTGATGCTAATTTGGATAAATAACCTCATTGAGCTGGAATAATGGCTGCATTTTCTGCCAAACTATTTTGAACAACCATTGGATACATCTTATTGACTTTAGTTGAGGACTTGACTGAAGTCAAACATACTACATACTTTTTAGGGTTTCTAGTAGATTAACTGATGTATCAGTTCAAAACTCAAGGCTGGAACATTGGACATCCCTAGTTCATAATAGGCTGCACTATTGGAAACTTAATTTAATAGTTTTGCTATGGGCTAAGTCATTATGCAAGTACCTGATTAAGATCCCAAATCAAATGACTAAGGTCACTTTGTAAAACATTAAAAGCCAATCAAGTAGCCATAAAACTGAAACATACCAAAAAATGTCCTGCCAAGGTTTGATTTTCTCTTCAGCAGGTTTACATCTGTCCTCTTGACACTGGTTTGCTTCTTATTCCCTTCATCCTGATCCTAATCACAACAGCACAGTCAAAAAGTCAAAAAACATTTTTTAGAAAGTCTTTTGAAGAGATAAGGAAAAAATATATATCACTTGAAATCTCACCATGTCTTTATCAAAGCTCAGAAAATATGACAGAGAATTCAGGCAGACAGAACAGGGTTGTTTGTTTAAAAGTGAAAAGCTTTGACTGCTCATGATCACATGACTCCTCAGCTGTGACCAGCTTGCTGGATTGTCTGTAGTGATAGATACTCAGGTTAGTGACCACTAGACTCAGATGGGGAACTATAATCACTGCATGAAAAGTGAGATTTTCGTCCCCGTAAACTACCGCAGATCTCCCTCATTTTTGGCAGTTAACGACAATTTGCAATCCGCGCTTGTCGCCGTTTGTCAGTGCCACAAATTGTCGGAA